TGGGAAGTGTTAGCGATTTGGTATTGAGGATCAGTAGGGATTGGTAAGGGATTAGGGAAGGTCGAGTGCGAAGCTGGAGGTTAGTGATTAGGGATTGGAAGTAAGCGATTGGGGGGGACTGGAGACTGGGAAGGGGATTAAGGATTGGTAAGGGATTTGGAGATTGGAAAGGAGATTCGGAGAGGGTTTGGAAGTCAGTGATTGGGGACTGAGTGGGAGGTTGGAGGCCGAGTGGGAGGTTAGTGATTAGGACTAGGATTAGGATTAGGGATTGTGGATTAATCTACAGAGGAGAAACGTATAGAAAGGGGGGCGGGGGCGATGACTGTATGCTAGGAAACGTTCGAATTCGAAGATTAGGGATCGGGAATGGAGATTGGATGCTGACGGCGATGGGAGTCGGGGGAAAGAAGGAGAGGGGGGGTGAAAGGGGAAGGGGGGTGAAAGGGGAAGAGGGGTGAAGAGAAGTGAGGGTGGTGGATGAAGGGGGGGGAGGGAAAGAATGTGAAAGATTGGAATTATTGGACAGGTCTATCATCCGTATTAATGTCATCCTGGCTTACAATGTCCAATGTGTTCTTTTCAATGGCTCACAGTCAGATTATATTGTTTGTTTCTTCTGGTGTTATGCAAGGTATTATTTTGGGTTCTCTTCATCTCTCTCTCTCTCTCTCTCTCTCTCTCTCTCTCTCTCTCTCTCTCTCTCTCTCTCTCTCTCTCTCTCTCTCTCTCTCTCTCTCTCTTTCAAGATATCTATTGTAGGTACTTAGCTCTTCCTTAAGACTCATTCTGGACTTACTTATTAAGTTCAGTAGACCAACTGTGACTATAACTCATTGTATTTCGACATCTTAGAGCAAAATTTCCCAAAAGAGGAACATGAAGGGAATTACAAGACGACAGGATTTACGCTCATGTGTTTAAACGTGATTTGTTACACTTCAGATGCGGACATGACGATTTTACGGTATTGAATAAAATTTTTGGTTTCACGTTTCCTGTTCCTTGTGTGTATTTCTCAATGACATTGGTAAGCCTGATGAATTATAATTGTCAGTGTTATCAGCGACGGACTGCTAAATTGTTTCCTGAATTGTGTAAAATGCATGTCTGTTTGAGCTTTTTTCACTCTTCATACTATCCTAACTATCCATTTTGGTTATTTTTGAAGTTAAGTTGTATTGCCAAATGTATGAGAATTCCAATGGAGTTGCTATTTGACGTAATAATTCATATACTTAAGAATTTTCGGATTATCCTAAAAAAAACATTTCCAAAGTTATTGATTCATCGATAATATTCAATGTATCAACTTATATCTATAATATTAAAGTCTCTAAAATATGTTTACGTTATTCATAAACTCGATATAAAATAAAATACAAGACAGTGCAGAGCTTTATTACCTTTAAATCTCTTGCGAGAAAACTTACGAGAAAAGATAAAATAAAACTGAAAAAAATATATCATCATGACATTATATTGGCGTATCATGTTGCAAACTCTATACTCTCTATATCCACTTCTAACCTTTCACATTTTGTTCCAATAATCTAGAGCATTTATCAACCACAGATATACCTCAGTTGTGGCATTATGTCTAAGAATAGCAATGCGCCAGGAAGTCTGCATGTGAACACCACCTACTGTTCAAGGTGGAGGCAACTATTCCTAATATTTTGTTATGTGTTTATTCATATTGATGAAAGAAATTCATTTTGAGTGATTACTAACCTTGTTTACATAATCGTTCTTAATTTCACTATTGTGTATTACATTCCAAATCAAAGACGGATATGATCATAATATTGTAATTACAACGGGTTGGTTATGCAAACGGCATTTTGCTAAAATAAATAAATAAATAATTAAATAAATACAAAAAGATAAAAAAAAATAATAATAATAAAATAAAATAAACGTTTTCTGGCGCTTACTCCTTTCAGCTTAAGCAAAATTACTGTATTCACAATATTCCCCATGTGCCGTACACAATGACGTTGCTAAACCTGGCGATTAAGAATGGTAAATGTGAGCAACTCTGAAATGTTAAATTGTTTTCAGAATTGTTGGAAATGTACACACACCTTGATGAGGATAGCTTGCAATACAGTCTGCTTAGGTTATTTCGTACTGCATTCTACTCTGACCATTTATTTGGGTGTTCTCTAAACAGCGATGCGACGTTGCCAGATTAACGCAAACGCTATATGGAGTGCCATGCGTCTCAGCAAATGAATATCTACACCAAAAATATTGCTCAGTTATTGGTGTCTCGCTTCATGTCCACGGTTGCTTTCCTAATATTTCTTGTAGAATATATTAAGTTGTTATTATATAACATCGAAGTCTTGGAAATAAGCTGATCTTATTAAAAAGGAAGGAAAAAACTTTCGCATAGAACTTGCTTTCCTTGGTTATTTGGAGGGAATTTATACTAAAAAGAAAAGAAAAGAAAAAGTAAATATATAGAAAACCTGCTAATGAAATATAAACCTTTTACAAAATACTCTCATGTCATAACATTGATGTAGTTTGAATAAAACGAGTGAATTTACTGGACATCTGCAGCCTCTTTGCGTTTTCTTTCTGCCTGATTGATATCCGTTTTCTATGCTTTCAGGGTTGTCTTGTGTATTATTTACCATGATCGAGACGCCTGTCTGTAGTCTCAGTTCTCGAGGTAATGGATATATGCATATTTGCAGGTGTCATTATTGTTTTGTTTTGATCATTACTGTTGTCATTACCGTGACCGTTATTATTATCATTTATCATCATTAGCATTATTATTATTATTATTATTATTATTATTATTATTATTATTATTATTATTATTATTATTATCATTATCAATATTATTGTCGTTGGTGTTTTTATCATTACCACTACTGCTACCAATACCAATAGCATTATTATTGCTTTTATTTTTATTATTACATCTATTATTATTATTGTTATAATACACACATACACACATATAAAAACATTCTGTAAATATATGTATACATATATACGTACATATATCTATCTCTCTCTCTCTCTCTCTCTCTCTCTCTCTCTCTCTCTCTCTCTCTCTATATATATATATATATATATATATATATATATATATATATATGTGTGTGTGTGTGTGTGTGCGTGTGTGTGTGTGTGTGTGTGTGTAGATAAATAAATACAAATATATAAATAAGTAGATATAAACAGAAAGACAGATACACAACAATATATTCCTTTTCCACATTCTTCAATATTACCACTCACATTTTTCCTTCTTTCTCTTCTTCCCAAGTTTCTCCCTCTTCTTCTTTGACATTTTCTCTCCTCTTACCCCCCTCCCCCATCCCCCATCTTGCAGGCAAAGTACAGCTTCATTCCAGACGTAGAGATTGTGCATCCTCTCCCAGCAAGCAAGCAATGGGGGGGGGGGGGGATTTACAGAGGAGGTCCCGGATGTGTTGCAAAGCGTGGAGAAAGATGGAGGATTGAGGGGGGGGGGAGGGTGGAGGGGGGAAGGGAGAAGGGAGGAGGAGGGAAGGGAGAAAAGGAAGAGTGGGAATGAGGGAGAGGAGGAAGGGAGAAGAGAAAGTGGTTGATAGAGAAAGGGAGAGAGAAAAAAAAGTGGATTGTTATAGGAGGAGTAAAGAAATAGATAGAGAAAGAGAGAGAAAGAGAAAGAAAGAAAGAGGAAGAGAGACAGAGAGTGAAAGAAAGAAAGAGAAATACAGATAGAGAGTGAAAGAAAGAAAAATGAGAGACATATAAAAACGAAAAAAAAAAAAAAAATAGAGAGATAGAAAGGACAAAAAAAAAAAAAAATTAAAGCGAAAACAAGCCTAAAAAGGAAAAAAAAAAAAGAAAAAAGAAAAAAAAAGGTAAACACACATACCCAAAAACTAGCGTCGAAATTTCCAAGTTAAGTGCCAGGATTCTTCTTGAAACCCCATTAGCTTCACGGGAGTCGGCTTACTTTTCCCCGTGAAAATTATGACTTCCTCGTTCTATTAAATACCCTTGGATTGCACCGCCAGCTATGCAATTGCACGTCGACACGAGTCATAACCTCAGGTTGTCCCGGAGTCTCGAGAATGCGCGGGAAAAATGCAGCGAGAAAAGTAACCCCCCAAAAATAGAATAAATAAATGAATAATAATAATAATGTTGATAATAATAATGATAATAATAATAATAATGATAATAATAATAATAATAATAATGATAATGATAATGATAATGATAATGATAATAATAATAATAATAATAATAAGGATAATGATAATGATAATGATAATGATAAGGATGATAATAATAATAATAATAATAATAATGATAATGATAATGATAATGATAATAATAATGATAATGATAATGATAAGGATGATAATAATAATAATAATAATAATGATAATGATAATGATAATGATAATGATAATGATAATGATAATGATAATGATAATGATAATGATAATGATAATGATAATGATAATGATAATGATAATAATAATAATAATAATAATAATAATAATGATAATGATAATAATTATAACGATAATAATAATAGAAATAAATGAAATGAATGAAAAAATAAGATAAAAATAGAGACATAGATGAATAAACATATATATAAAGCACATAATTCCGTTTTTTCGGTAAATATCAACACGATAAAAAAAATCAAAAAAAATCGAGAGAAGGACAGAAAAAAAAAAAAACAGGAAGAAGTTAAAATTAAAATAAAAAAAATAAGTCACAAAAAAAATGTAGAATTAAGTCATCTTTATTACAAATTACAAAAAAGAAAGAACTCGGGGGTGTAGAGAAATGAAAAAGGGGGGGTGGGGAGGAGAATGAAAATGAAAGACTAGTTCATCATTATTTACAAAATGAAACCAGAAAAAAAAAAGAAAATTAGTTGGGGTGGAAATAGGTGTGTGGGATGTGATAGGGGGGGGAGGGGGAGGGAGGATGGAAATGAAAATGCAAAGTGAGATCATCGTTAT